TTCTCTTTTGCAACTGTGTGTGTCTGCTGTGTCACCAAAGCAGCTATAGATGATATGTAAATGAATCACTACAGTTGTGTTACAATAAAACTTTTATTTATGTACAATAGAATTTAAATTCCATATAATCCTCACATGTTGGATGGAACATTATTTTATTTATTTGAAGCATGTAGCAATTTAACTATCATTCTTAACTTAAAACCAGAATTACTCTATAGATGATAATTTATTTTGCACCTGAACTAAATGATTTCTTTCTCAAAATGTTACTCAGTCTGTAACACAATAGAGCAATATGGCCATAACTTAAACCTTTCAACTGTGTTGCCTTACCCACATGTAATATTTTGTGTTGTTTTTACAGGTATGCTAAAGGCTATCCCCCTTACTCTCCATATATAGGAAGTTCACCCACTTTTTGTCATCTCCTTCATGAAAAGGTGCCATTTTGCTGTTTACGATTAGATAAGGTAAATACTTGTTATTGCTCTCCTCTCGTTTTCTCCAAAAATAAGATATGTCATATTACAATTAGATACTGACATATTTTTTAAATTTTGTACCGTTTTTTGGCTAAAATACTTTTAATCATATTGCCTTTTCAGATGTAAATACAGCAAATAATGTGGTGACATTTATTTTCCTAGTGGCAGAAAATATTGCCCAAGTGCTTTACCAATGTACTACATTAACCAGATGGATCTGCCAGTCATGTTTTCAAGAGGTGCTAGAATTCCAATTTTTAAAAAATGAATTCCATGTTATAAACAGATATTCTTGTCATTTTGAGTTGTACTCCATTATCAAATGAAGGTCCCTAAAACTTTCTGCATTTACATAATTATGGTCAACTCTTCTTTGAGGTGGCAGCTCTTCCCCTGTCATATTTTGAGTGTGTTCCAACCTGAGGGTTTCAGCTTCCAGCACTAAATGTGACAATAAATATTCTACTATTTATAAGGTTTTCATCTCTGCCACTATGTCTGTCAGTTTTCTGCAGCTATCCGTAAGCTTTTCAGTGTATATCCATTTAGAAGTATCCCACCTCTTTTTCTTCCTACTCTATCTTAGTCTAGAAGGTCCACTGAAACTTTTCCACTATGGGTAACCCTGCTGGAATTTAAAATACCAGTGCCATAACTCCTAGCATCAGAGTACGACAAACTGACTGGTGAGTGGTAGTTGGGAAAGTTATTCACAATTAAATTTCCATTTCCTCATCTGTAAAATGGGTATAATTTAAATATTACCCTCATTGGGCATATGTAAGTATTATATAAAGTAAGAAATTAAAAAGGCTTAGCACAATAGCAGAAACTTAATAAACATGTGGGTGCTTGCTGTAGTTTTCTAATGATCATGCTATTATTGGATTTTTCAGATGATAAACATTATGAACCTTGAGTATTCCTCAGACTCTTTAGAAAGTAGATTAATGGAAATAGAATGAAAGGTTACTCTGTCCGAGATGATGACCTCAGGAAAAGAAGTAGTTGATATTTTAGAGCCAAAAATTATGAATTATCTTTTTACCATATTAAGAATGAAGTTTCAAAGTGTTGCTAAGTGGCACATGATATCAAGGACTACCAATTATTTAGGTCACACTGGGTGGCAGTAACCTATTATTTTAATGGGAGTTCACCTTTAGATTATGACCAGTTGACTCTACTGAATCCATGAAGTATGTGAATTGGGTAATGTTGTTGTTGTTGTTAGGTGCCATCAACTTGATACTGACTCATAGTGACCCAATGCACAACTGAACAAAACACTGCCTGGTCATGTGCCAACCTTACAATCACTGGTACACATGAGCTCATTGCTGTTGCAATTGTACCAGTCCATCACATTGGGGGTCTTCCTCTTTTTCTCCAACCCTCCACTTTACCATGCATGCTGTTCCTTCTCTAGGGACTGGTCCCTCCTAATAATATGTCTGAAGTACGACCGTGCTCAACTGCCAGTTTGTCATACAGTGGTAGTTTACGTGGTGCTGTGATTCTGGAAACTATGTCACATGTATTTTAAATATCAGCAGGGTCACCTACATTGGACAGGTTTCAGCTAAACTTCCAAATGAAGACAGACAAGGAAGGAGAGACAGACTACTTCTGAACATTTAGTCAATGAAAACCTTATGAATGGCAGTGGAAAACTGTCATCAACAGAATATTGAATATTGAAACATGATGAGGAACACCAGAATATGATCAGATATAGTGCCAGAAGATGAATCCCCCTCATAGTGGAAGGAATTCAAAATTAGACAGGAAGAGCTGCCTACTCAAAGTC